TCCAACTCTCCCGCAGGCGAAATATTACATCGGAACGCAAAATAAGGCGAACATGGGGTGGCGTGGCGTGGCGACGTTTTGCCCTACACCATTGTTAACAAGAATGGAAGCCGCGATTTCACGTTGCCAGGGACTGCTCTATACCTCCCCTTACTATGGCAACTTAAATCTCGATTGCCATCCCTCCAGTGAAGTTCATGGCGTGAGGAGGATGCGCAAGACGGTGTTGCCACGGACCGCTGCTTTTTATATTTGTATTTTTTTTTTTTTTTAATAAATGTATAATATATTTGTATATAGATGGCATCAGTCTCTCTCAACTGTATAAGAACTTGATAAAGAGAATTCCATTTATTTTTACATTTTAAGGTCATTTATTATCTCATTGATTCTAGTTTTAATACCCGGAAGATTTTATTATTTTTAATTCAAAATATTCTATAGTAACTTTCTTTTATTATATCTACTTTTATTTATTGAATTTTATTGAATTTTTAAGTACCACTTTTCCCAATGATTCTTTTATGATAAGATCATTTATGTATTTATTTCACGTTAATGATCATTTTAATAATTTTATCATACAAAGTATCTTATTTTTATATTTCACCTTAATTTTAAAGTTAATTTTTACTGACCTACGAACATGAGAAAGAACCACAATGCCCAGGTTCTCGCGCCAAAAAACAAACAAACAATGTGGGCAAGTACGAAAGCAAACCACAGGGATTGAGGGATTGGTCTTTGTACCTGTTAGACTGCTCGGGGCTCCCCGAAATGGGCCTCCCACAAGTCAGTTAAGTGGTTGTGATGCATGAGGATATGGGTTGTGAGAGACATTTGACTGGATATGGGTTGTGAGAGACATTTGACTGGATATTTATTCGGATTGTGACAAAGTGATCTGGTGCTTTATTTATTTATTAGTTTAGTGTTTTTCGTATGTGCTTTTGTTTTACTGCTTTTATTGCCTTTGCGTGTTTTACTCCATTTAATGTTTTACTGTTTTAAGTGTGTTTACTACGTTATTTTAATAAATGTTTTCTTATTTGTCGCAATTTCCCTCGCAAGCCTATATGTAAAGGAAAAAGGATTTAATTAAATAATCGTTAATTACACTACTCCCTTGAGAATACGCACACGCCTCTCCTCGGCTCAAATTGACGTTTACCAACATTCAGACTCCCGCTCCTTTCCTCATATTTTCTACACTATTCCCCTCCCCACAAACACCACTACGTTCCCATACGTAAACTAAATGGGTGGTGGCAGTGACGTTAGTTTTCCACATTCTTGCGGGACATAATTGCATTTGCAGTTCACTCCATCCCCCTCCCAGTCACTCCATCCCCCTCCTAGTCACTCCATCCCCCTCCCAGTCACTCCATCCCCCTCCCAGTCACTCCATCCTCCTCCCAGTCACTCCATCCCCCTCCCAGTCACTCCATCCCCCTCCCAGTCATTCCATCCTCCTCCCAGTCACTCCATCCCCCTCCCAGTCATTCCATCCTCCTCCCAGTCACTCCATCCCCCTCCCAGTCACTCCATCCCCCTCCCAGTCACTCCATCCCCCTCCCAGTCACTCCATCCCCCTCCCAGTCATTCCATCCTCCTCCCAGTCACTCCATCCCCCTCCCAGTCACTCCATCCCCCTCCCAGTCACTCCATCCCCCTCCCAGTCACTCCATCCCCCTCCCAGTCACTCCATCCCCCTCCCAGTCACTCCATCCCCCTCCCAGTCATTCCATCCTCCTCCCAGTCACTCCATCCCCCTCCCAGTCACTCCATCCCCCTCCCAGTCATTCCATCCTCCTCCCAGTCACTCCATCCCCCTCCCAGTCACTCCATCCCCCTCCCAGTCATTCCATCCTCCTCCCAGTCACTCCATCCCCCTCCCAGTCACTCCATCCCCCTCCCAGTCATTCCATCCTCCTCCCAGTCACTCCATCCCCCTCCCAGTCATTCCATCCCCCTTCCAGTCATTCCATCCTCCTCCCAGTCACTCCATCCTCCTCCCAGTCACTCCATCCTCCTCCCAGTCACTCCATCCCCCTCCCAGTCACTCCATCCTCCTCCCAGTCACTCCATCCTCCTCCATCTATCCCTGAATGGTCCTGAGAATCCACGGGATGTAGAAGCGGACGTTGGTGTAGAGGCCCTGGGTGTTGGCGGACCCGCAGTTCCTCGGGCCTAGGCTGGTGATTCCGACGATGAAGACTTTGCTCCCGAACTGGTTGTCGAGGGTCAGGGGGCCGCCTGCCGGGGAGGAAACAAGAGTGCAGTTGATTATATATATACATATATATATAAATATATATATAGGCTTATATATGTATTTTTATTTTCTATACTTCCGTACACACACTTACACACACTTACACACACACACACACACACACACATACACACACACACACACATATATATATATATATATATATATATATATATATATATATATATATATATATATATATAAGAATAGATATGTGTATATATAAATATATATATACATATATACATATATAATGACACACACAAACAACTTTCTGTTTCAGTCAATATCTGTATCTATATATATACATTCATTTATCTCTCTCTCTCTATATATATATATATACATATATATATATATGTATATAATATATATATATATATGTATATATATAATATATATATATATAATGTATATCATATATATATATATATATATATATATATATATATATATATATATATATATATATATATATAATGTATATAATATATATATATATATATATATATATATATATATATATATATATATATATATATATATATATATATAATGTATATAATATATATATATAATATATATATATATATATATATATATATATATATATATATATATATATATATATATATATATAATGTATATAATGTATATAATATATATATATATAATGTATATAATATATATATATAATATATATATATATATATATATATATAGATAGATAGATATAGATATAGATATATAGGTGTGTGTATGTGTGCATAAATATAACATATATAACGTTCCTATACATTTATTCAGAATATTTACACATACATATATAACAATGTATATGTATATATAACAATATCTATGTATATAGATATATATTACATATATATACACACACACATATGGATGCATGAGTGCGTGTGCGTGTACCCTCCCCCCTCCTTTCACCAGCCCGAAGGCCTCCTTACCAGAGTCTCCTCGGCACGTGTCCCTCCCTTCCCCCCCGGCGCAGAGGGTCATGCGGGGGTCAGGGTAGCTCCTCCGGAGCCTGTTGCAGTAACTCAACTCCTGAATGGGCAGCTGCACCTGCTGGAGGACTTCCGGGCGTCGGTTGTCTGTGAAATCTGAGAGGGAAAAAGAAGCAGACTGGTGTTTGGTTTTGCTTCCCGGAATATAAGTTTTTCTTTTCTTTTCCCTTTTTATGTCAACATCATTGTTGCTAAAACTGTTATCATCATCACTGTTAACATATAATCTAACATAACTGATGACATCATTAACCTAATAAGGTTAGTGATGGCATCATTAACCTCGTCACTCATCGCTGTCATCATTAATATTATCATCATTACGGTCCTCCTTAACATCATCATCATAAGGGGGCATACGCATCGCTGCGCTTTGCCGCACCCAGCCTTTGCCTCCACCTCCTGGGGTCCCTCCGAGCGAGCCTCCATGCAGCATTCTTTCCCACTCCCAGTACATCTTGGCAGATCTGATCGACTTGCTTCAGCCATGAGTTCTGTGGCCTTCCCCTTGGTCTTCTCCAGCCTGGGTCAACCCTCTCGGAGATGACCCTATAAGCCGGATCTTCCTCAGGGAAACGAGACACATGCCCACAGAGCTGAAGTTGGCGCTCTCGTATCAGACTGGTAATAGGTCTTGAATCAGTCTAATGGAGTATCCTCTGATTGGACACATGGTCCCTCCAGGTATACCCCATGATTCTGCGAAGACACTTAATACCAAAGGAGTTAAGATGGGCCTTCAGAGCACTGTTCAGTGTCCAGGTCTCACACCCATATAGTAAGACCAGGATCACCAGTGCTCTGTAGAGCCTGATCTTAGTTCCCCTAGTCAAATACCGACAGCGCCAAATACTCCTGTTGAGTGAGTCCATAACGCAGTAGGCCAGTCCTAGTCGTCGAGTGACTTCCCGGTCGGAACCTCCGTCGCTTTGTACTACACTACCAAGATAAGTGAAGCTACCCAAGACCTCAGTGTTCTCGCCACAGGCATACACAGACTGAACATCGACATCCAATAAGTCCCCAAATTCCTGAACCTTGGTCTTGGTCCAGTTGACCGCGAGTCCCAACGGCTTCGCCTCCTCATGCAGCGCCTCGAGAGCTACTTCCAGGACCTCTAATGTCTGCTAGAATCATTGCATCATCGGCAATGTCAAGGTCTGTGACCTTGAAATCACCAATTGATGCCCCACAGGAATTACGGTTCATGGCACGGCCAAGTATCCAGTCTCTGTGCTTGTAATAGGTGGTCGTGCACCCATGCCAAAAGCAGATGAGCGAGGACCTTGCCTGGTACGCTGAGCAATGTAATACCTCTGTAGTTGCCACAGTCCTTTTGGTCCCATTTCCCTTTCCAGATAGGGATGACCAAGCCCCTATTCTAGTCAGGGGGAATGGTACCAGTCTCCCAAACGGCAGACAGGACAGCATGCAAACCACAGATCATGGCTTCTCCATCCACCTTCAACAACTCTGCAGCAATCCCACAGACACCAGCAGCCTTTCCTCTTTTTAGCTTAGAGACCGCCCTTCTCACCTCTTCGATGGAAGGTGGTGCCTCACTGATTGGTGGATCAGCCACTATTGGCTGTGTCCCAGCCAACAGGAGTTGTGAAGATGGGGGATCTGCCCTATACAGTTGCTCAAAGTACTCAGCCCAGCGGGCACTATACTCACACGGCTCTGACACAATGCAACCATCCTCTGCCTTCATCGAGCCTGGTTGAGAGATGGACTTTGACAGGAGTTCCCTCAGGTCGAAGGTCATTTTGAGCAAAATGAGCTTCCAACTCTTCCACGATGCCCTTGTGCAAGACATGGTTCCCATCAAGTCTGGCAGCATGACTCATTTCTATAGTGTTCAATGTCTCATCTGAGACAACACGCCTCCTTCGCCGAGGTGGGACCCAAAGGCACTCCTTGGCAACTGACAGAGTTTCTTGCTTAAAGGTATCCCACAGTTCAGCACTTCAAACCGATTTGAGGCTGCCACTGCATACTCCTTAGCCACCTCCTCACTCTTGAGCCTCTCGAGATGGAACATCTGCTGGTGAGGTCTCGGGATGCGTCTAGATCTGAAGCGGAGCATTAGTGTTGCAACAACAAGTCTATGGTTGGTAGCAAAGAACTCAGCACTCCTAAAACCCTAAAAAAGTAACCATGAGAATATGGTCGATCTCTTTAGCTACAACGCCAGAATTGGAGTACCAAGCCCAGTTGTGTAGATCTCGTCTCTGGTACCACAATCTCGCAATCCTCAGCCTCCAAGATCTTGCGAAGTCTAAGAGGTATGAGTTATTGATGTTCCTAGTACCAGAGCCATAGGGACCGATGCATAGCTCGTATCCTTCCCTGTCAGTGCCAATGACTGCATTGAAGTCCCCCAAGACCATGAGGGTGTCCCCCCCGGGGACACTGATCCACTATAGAGACAAGTTTGGCGTAGAACATCTCTTTCTCTTCAAGCCCACTTCCCTCAGTAGGAGCATAAACTGCCACTAGAGATATGAAGCCCAAAGTGTGCTTCATTCTCACAAGCAGAATGCGCTCGTCAACAGGGGTAACCCTAAGGCGTGCACTATTGCTACAGCCAGACCAGTAGTAGGTGTAACCCCCACTACTTGTCTCACCACTACCAGGCCGTCGCACCTCAGAGAGAGCAGCGATGGCAATCATCAGCGTCCCCAGCTCCCCCAACAACAAAGGCAGTAGATCATCCTCCGAGAGACTGAGGATGTTCCAGGCCGTTACACGGCAAGCTTGCCGTAGATTGACCCCATATGTGTGGCTCCGGCCGGGCGACGCCTCGGCACAACCAGGCATGCCTCTCAAGAAGGAAGAGTGGAGGCCGGAGGGCCATCCCCCCACCACGTAACCTCAGGGTGCAGGGTTCCCTGGGAGGACTTTGCCCTGCACCCATCACAACAGGCTCGTCGTCCTGTTCAGGTAAACCCTTGGTCAGGACGCCGAGCCAGGGATCAGGAACCCCCCCGGCCGCAAATCGGGGTCGGAGTCACCTCCTTCAGGATGGCTCCGACCCCTTCTCTTCTTTCTTGGTTTGCCTGCTGGTAATGTTTTTTTCTGGACCGGGTTGCCAGCCCGACCTTATAATCCTCACCACCAATCATTATTACACAAAACACGATAACTCCGACTAACCTAATTACGGAAAGAATTTTCTTAACTACATGTTAATTAGACTAGTTTCCTGTCCTTACCCGTCGCAGTGGAGCCCCAGCCAGCGGCCCAGGCGGCTTTACCCTGGAATTCTTGCTCAGAGAAGCCCATGTCTTGGACGGGGTTGACCGGGAGACACACGGGCGCCACGTAGACTGGGGGGGGGGGGGGGAATACAGTTAATGTATGGTAATGAAAACATCTATATAAGAGAATATATGTATATATGTGTGTGTGTATGTGCGTGTGTTTGTGTATAGGCCTTTTTTTGTAACATCCCGAAATCCCTAACACTTTGATACATTATATCATGTTGTCGTTATAAAACATGCTAGCATCGAAGTTAATACCAACACAAATTTTTGAAAAGAAGTTACTTATCATAATTTTACATAAAATGTCATTAGTAAAACATTAAAGAATTTAATATGCTGTTATGAATTTTCATTGCAAGCAAAACATTATGGAATCTTCAGATCAAATGGAGAAAGTGACTGACTACTCTACAACTTCAACTGTCTATATACACCACTTTTCGTTTCACAAGGCTGTAAAAACTTTCAATTGTATTACTTAGATTCAATCAAATCATTTGTATTCTTAGTACATACATTGGTCTTCCTATGAAAAGTGGAAGTTGCATGAGGTTTTGCATCTTAAAGTATCCACCGCGAATGAGCTCTGTGTCCGAATCAGATATCTTGATAATTCCAGTAATCGCGAGCATTTATTTATCAAATTGATTGAACTATATCAGCAAATCAAGATACATAGACTCTCCTCTGATATTCTTTAGCCTGTAAGATTCATAGAAGTATGGAATGATTTTGAAAACATTTATCTCATCGAAGTCAATACCATGTCAAATGACTCGGACACGTTGGAAATTCTTACCATGTCGTTCCAGCGACCGTCTTGATTGACTTCAAATTTTACCCATATAGAGTGAACATTTTTGGGCACATTATATGTATATTTACATATATATATATATATATATATATATATATATATATATATATATATATATATATAAATATATATATATATATATATATATATATATATATATATATATATAAATATATATGTATAAATATATATATATATAAATATATATATATATATATATATATATATATATATATATATATATATATATATAAATGTATATATATATATATATAAATATATATATATATATATAAATATATATATATATATATACATATTGTATCAAGGAGTTAACGTAATTAATGAAAATAGAAATCCCTATTTGAGACTTCGTGAGATATATCTGAAAAATATCACACTCTGACTGGCTGACCGGAGTGTATCACGGTAGAGGCATACACTTTGATACAAAACGAAAAGGTGTTTCAACAGGTGCCGAATAATGGTTCTGAGCTCCAACAGAGTTATATAACAATTTCTGTTTTGGTTTAAATTTAAAGCTTCTGCTTTGTTCCTTTTATTTATTCATTTATTCTTAATCATTATTATTTTCCTACCATTATGATTATTTTTGAGGAGTTAGGACACGATAGAGTGCCATCAGGGTTCAAAGACCACTGAGTGCCAGTGCCATTTCTTCATCACATTAATGTACTCCCTTGGCATTGCAAGTTGTCTGAGTAATTTCATTTAAGGACAGTAAATTATAACTAAACAAATCTAAGGAATACACTATTACCATTCTGCTGGCTGTCAAGATCACTGAAATTGAAAGGGTAACTGGTAAGTTGTAACCAAAGATATGTTATCAATATAAAAGATACAAAACCCTTTCAAATACTCGGAGAAGAGGACTTGGGAACTTTGCCACTGAGGTATTCAAAAATTTGACTTACAAAACTAGGATAACAAAGGCGATGAATGCATAAGCTGGAACAAAACACTCACAAAATAAACAAAAACACAAAATTCTGTAGTCTGGACATTTCACGCACCCTTATTCTTTTAAAAGAAAGAAAGAAAAAGAGAACAGAAAAGAGAAAAAGCAATTGAAGCTGAAAAAAAGAGAAATGGAGATAACAAACGACACTTACCCGGGTGTAGGACGGCCGGACGACTCAACCGGAGGAGGGCGATGTCGTTGCATTCCGTGCACGGGGAGCCGTACTGGGGGTGCCGGATGATCCTCTCCACGGGAATATCCTGCGGTGGAGGAGCGCAGCGCCCTTTGGAGCAGTCTGGGTTGGAGGAGAGCGTGTGCTCCCCGATCCTAGCTATTTCCCTGGAGTTGAAAGAGGATGAGAGATTCCATTGAAAATGACGTAGTTTATCTCTTGACGCTCCTTAGCTATAACCTAAGCTGAACAATGTTTAATTCTTGTCACAATCAATGTGTGAATCGTATCTAATTCAGTCACTAAAATCAGCTTATTCCACCAGGCTTGACTCGAGTGACTCACAGCACAAGACCGAGTCTCTCCTTGAAGCAGTGAGCGGCGGTAAGGACGTAGCGGTCGGACACGAGCACTCCGCCGCAGAACCACGAGCGGCGTCCGTTCACTGTAGGTTCAGGGAGGAAAAGTGTCAAGTAACGTGGTAACGTGTCGGTGGTTCGCGCCCCGGTTACTGCTGTGGCTGGGCACCACGGGGCTAAGGACTAAGCTCAGTCGAGTCAGCACCAACTGGTAACAGCATTAGTGGGCACAGGCCAGGCTCCCTTCAGAGGCAAAGCTTGGGCGAGGCTCAGCTTCCCACATCTGCCCTATCCTTGTATTTCACTTTCTTAGTACAGTGCTCTCTACTGTGAAGTACTTTTTACTTTTTAATGATCTGCTTTTGAGGAAATAGTGGAAATAGTAGATATAGTGTAACTGCTACGGTTAAATGCCAATTCGTTGATTTGAAAACCAATGCTTTAATAAGAGTTGTCTCTCACTTACAGAACAGAAAGTGACAGAATAATTTTCACTCTTACGCCCGCCCTACACATTTCATACTTCAGATGAAATACATCATAATACATATATATATACATATATATACATATATATATATCATACACTCAACAGAAAGTCTTGGCTCCAGAACCGACCTCTGCCGCGCAGAACCACCATCCAGGGCCAGGCGCCGAGAGGGGCGTCTTCGCCGTCGATGATCCTGACGTCGATTCCGCGGCTCCCGCACTTCACGTTGGGGCGGCTGGGGGGCGTCGTCTGAGGGGGGGGGGGGTAATTTTATGCCAATAAACTACAGGGGAGCTTGTGCTTGTACGTTTGTGTATGTGCGAGCTGACCTGCAGAAATACACCCCCAAGCATTTGAAATAGGGGAAACGGCAACAACTATCGAACAGACAAGCTAAATACACAAAAAAGAAAATTGCCGATAGTATTGGCGATACTTTTACGCAATACTTTCGCATAACCGATCGCGATAATTTTGGTATCGATGGATTCCTCTCACTCTAATCTAATTGTATGGAAATTATGCTGCGCAATCCCCTAAAATCCTCACGTTCTTGGCTCTGATAGCAGGGGAGGGTATGGAAGGTACCAGGGGTATTGCGGGGTAAGATATGAATAATATACTGAATCAGTCACTCTATTGTCTAATATGACCCACCATACGTGGAGGATTCTTTGTTTTCCTGGGCGGGGGTAGGGGGCCGGCAGCTCGCCATGAGGGGGTTACACGGGGTATAGCATCCTGTATTATACAATATAGTGATTCACTCTATGTATATTATTCATATCTTACCCGGCAATTTTCTTGGTACCTCCCATGCCCTCATTCGCTATCAGGACCAAGAATATGGGGATGGGAGGGGGTGGGGGTCCGCGGCATAATTCCTACATATATGTGTACTAGAGGCTGAGAGGAACACACACACACACACACACACACACAACCGACGACATTTCCAAGCCTACCTGCACGACTGGAGGCCTTGTGGGCGGAGCAGGAACGGGCAAGCTCTGAGAGGGACAACACACGAGGGGCTCGCTGTTCAGAAACGAGCAGATGGCACTGGAAGGAGAAATTCACGGATTACGGATGTCATGTTGGAAGGAGAGAACAAAGAATGTAAAATCTATGAGGATTCTGAAGCTCTTGTACTTCTCAATAAACTTCATTTGTGTTTTTTTTCTACGCTGGCAATGTTTAATCTTAGCGAGGTAATGAAATGAAACATCTGTAGTTTATATAAGGAAAGGTGGGATAGCAACAATGAATAAAATGATATCGAGGTAATGCCTAACATATAAGTGGCAATCAAGCACTTATAATTGACACCTTCTCCTTAAAAAAAGATAAGAAAAGAAAAGAAAAGAAAAAACAGAAAAAGAACAGTGAATACGAAGGAAACGTTTATTCTTTATAATATTACGAAAACCCTCAATACATCGCATGCGGGTTATTCATTCTGAAATGAATATCAGTTTATTAAGTCGACAATCTACTTACTTAGGAACTTTAAATATAGATATTACGTATTCATATAAAGATTACTGTTGATACTTTTCAAGGTATTTAACAGCAAAATATTTTAGGAATAACTCAAGCATGACATCTTCACTAGTTGATAACGAAAAGATAACTTTATGAATATTATTGTCATTACATTATCCGGCCCTGCAGTATCACCAGCAGGGCCGGATTATCCTATAGGCTAGTATAAGCTGCAGCCTAGGGCCCCTCAAGCCTGGGGGCCCCAAGCTTGAGGGGCTTGGCTATAAAAAATATCACTACGGTTGTGTTGAAACATAGTAAAATAGTGGTATTTATTTTTTTTATTGCTAGCTATGCTAGTTTATTTTAAGAATTTGCAAAAAGTTTACTTCAAGCTATGTAAATGTCGTTAAAATATATCACGAGTAAAAATATTATGAGGGGCCCCATAATTTCATTAGTCTAGGGGCCCCAAAAAGTCATAATCCGGCTCTGATCACCAGTACTGTTTTCGTCACATATATTCTAACTGCATTTATCATGATGATAATAAATATTATATTAATGTCCCTAATGATGACTGATAATGACAACGTAATCTGCCACATATCTATTAAACCTGATGTTATAGTTCTCAACTGAAAGATACATATATAAGCATACACAACACACACACGCAAACATATATATAATATATAATATATTTGTGGCATCTGTCAGTCACTACTGGCCATTGGTCTGCGCCTTGAAGAGCTATGCCCTTTGGCGCCACACACTACGCCAAGTGAGACCGGTAACTGTCACTTCTCGTGTTGTGTCGTCTTCTTGCAGCAGCACTGGAGGGTCCTCTCCAGGGTGCAGGCACGAGCGAGGGTGATGTGGAAGGCAGGCTGCTGGCCATGCAGTAAGTACTCTCTCCGTCACTGAGGTCGTACATGCAGCTTAGCACCAGACAGTTACGAGAGTTACGAGAACAAAACTGAAGTCAACAGCAGCTGTGGTATATAGGTAGTGCACTCGAGAACCAACACCATAATGATATATATATGTGTGTGTGTGTGTGTGTGTGTGTGACTGGTAGTGAAATCAATTTGTTGGTATAGTTATTCACATACGACACATATATATACATATGTATACATGTATATAATATGTATGTATGTATATATATATATATATATATATATATATATATACATACATATTATATACATGTATATATATGTATACATACATGTATATGTATATATATATATATATATATATATATATATATATATATATATATATATATAAATGTATTTCCTATTTCCGTAAGTTATATTACTTATAAAAATATGAATAGCATATTTTGAATATCTATAGCTTTCAACCGCAAATTGCTGTCCAAAATGCCAGCATCAAATCTGTCCAAAAGCCATTGTGAAACAGCAGTGAGTTTAAGAAGTCAATGTCGTAGCGTGTTTTGCCAACCAGCAATTGCTTTACGCACGTTATGGAACCTTCCTCTCGGGAAATGGTCTATGGATTCTATCTAGGTCTGCGTTAGGGTGACAGCGGTTGAATCACTCTTTGGATTTTCCTATTTTCGCTTAGGTGGATTAGCGCTCACTCCGTAGC